CATTTCTTTCCGTAATGCACACGCAATGATTAACCTGTTCCACTCTGAGCCTGTTTTTCAGGTCTCAGGCTCGAAAATGACATTCTCAGAACAAATGACCATATCTTCCCTTCTAAAAGGGTTAAATTAATAATCTTTGTTCTCAAAGTAATGATAAACCTGTGAGTTGGATGTAGAAGTGTCAGAATCAATATAAATGTTTTTTATTTTAAAGAAAATTCAGATTTTACATAGTAAAAAACTGTAAATTATATTGTCCGTCCAAAAATTATTTTTTACAGATAGTGAAAACTACCCTTGGATGATGGGTTAGTAGACTAAAAGCTTTAGGAATCCAAAGTACAACATATAATAAGTACCCTGTATCAAGATTGATGCAAAACAAGTGAAATTTGACCTTTTTAGAGAGATTTAGCCAAAAACCCCCACTTATGGGGTCATTTGGGTGGATTTGACCTATCTCTGGCCCCCCTTGGTCGATTTGGTTGGTTGACATACCCTTGTGACCGTTAGAGCCAATAGAATCGAAGGGGGAGGCACACACCCACACACGTTGTAAAGAAAAAATGTGGGCGCTTCGCATGTGGAAAACGAAAGCAAAGTGGAGGAATGTCTCCTTCTGGAGTTTGGAAACTAAAACGCAGTTGTATTGCTTATGGATTATCAGAAATAATTTCAAAGAAGGCACAGACACATAGGATGAACCTATGGATTAACTGCAGCATCGTTTTTTTATCGTTTTAATGCCATTGAAGACCACTTTTGACCAAGGTAAGCCATATTTACGTTTTTTAGCTACTTAGCTCCACATGTGATGATGTACGCTTTCGTTTATAGCGTCGCGAATGTTTATCACTGAGTGTTGAGGTTTTTTACACAGATTCAGTGTCTCCAGGACACCAAAAACGAGTGGTTGGCTGTGCATCTAGGATAAGTAATAAGGGAGTTATGAGTGAGTTTAAGTGCCTTTGTAGGTTCCGTTTTTTCGATCGAGGCTAATTCAGAGGCTGAGTGCTAGCATTGTGGGGTTTTTTTGAAAAAAAAAATTAAAAAAATCAGTTAGCTGAGTTTCTTCCCGTTACATGGATATAACACATTCATAGTTTTATTCAATATTAAGATTCCTTAGACGTTGTTTCCTGCAAATGACGCGTTTATCCGCCCGGTACCGGGGGGATGGTGTGAAACAGGTTAAAGAGTATACTTCAGACTTCCACAGACTCTTATCACCAATTAAACAAGAGACCATCTCACTTATTTGGGACAATGAAACAAAACGATTCCATCTGATCTTGAGACTAAAAACGAGACGATTCCATCAACTCTCTTTAACAAGAAGAGTCCATCTTTAACTTGCTAATAAAAACGAGAAAAGATACCATCTATTTCTCTGTCAAGAAGATACCATCTGTCTTGAGAATATACAAAACGAGAAGAGTCCATCTATAACTCGTCAAACACAATATAATATATAAATACCGGCTTAAAAGCACATTAATATATATCCGGCTTGGAAAACACACACATTATAATCATGCAGTTAATTAATGAACAAAGTAAAAGAATAGAGACTTACCCTTGCTTGGTGTAAAACAACGCCACGTGGTTTGGTTTAAATTTAGATATTTAACATTAAATTAACAGCTGTTCTCAGGATGTCCTGCTCGCCACAAAACACACAAATCTAAATGGTTCTATATAAGCTATTGAAGAATTTGATATAACTGGCTTCTTCTTACCGTTTGTATATGGGCCCTTGTGTGTCTCTTGGTTCGCGGAATCTCCGTCGAAACTAGCGGTTTCTCTCCCAGTGTCGATATCACATGTCTGGGGTCACCAAATGTTGATAAATCGTGATCTTCTCGCTCCCAGGAAAGAAACTTAAAATAACGAGACTAATGGAGTCTCTGAAAAGGTTCAAATGGGTAGTTTAATTAAGTAACGTGGTTAAAGAACAAGCATGGGTAATGGAGAGACAAAGCCGGTGTTGTCTTCAGGGAGCTACAGCGAAGGAAAGAGGGCGAGTTGTCCTCTGTCATCTGTTTTTATCCTCGTCTCGTTCTCTCCCGCTGTGCAGATAGTGGGACCTCCCTTCTCATCTGTGGGTTCGATATCGCGAGAGAACAGATGATTTTGACATTGGTATTCTCTGCCTACTTCCTTAAGCATTTTCTCCTCCTTATCTCTGTCATGACTTTCTATTTAATACCTTATAAACAGCTGTAATCGTTAGTTTAGAAGTCCTAAAAACACCTCTACGGCACAGTTCTCATTTACGGAAACTCCCTCTGACGTCATAGCTTCTCACGTGTGTGTAAACACTACGATCAACTGTACCTTCATTTAATATTCAGCAGTAATAATATCTCGACGTCTATCGATGTAGTGTTAAAGTCCGTACGTTTTGGTGTGTAATACTCTATGTCATTTTCACTTTACATTCAGAAAACGTAATATTTAGTCACATGCTAACCGGATAAAGGATTTTCAGAATAAAAGCTTGGCATTGATTTCCTGAGAACTTCCGGGTTTTTTTCACAATAAAACAGCTTTAAACTGACGATATGTTTTAGACTGAATTATGCTGTTTAACATTGATTTTAATTTCTAACATAGGACATGTCTTCTGAGTCAGGTCCTTCAGAAGCGAGGCAAGAATCCTTCCTAGCCTCGGAAAACGAAGAATGGTGGAACAGGCTTACAGGTGTGCAGGTGTGCGTCATATGCGAGGCCCCGCCTTAAATGGAGCGCGATTTCCGCCAAAGATTTTGGAAATTGGTCCGTGCTCCTTTGTGGAATTTTAAGACCGCGGAGGATGCACATGTGCAGCCTCGAAATTTCCCGCAACGAAGGACGCCTTCCTCGACATTGAGAAACACCCTGAGTTTCCCATACACATGCTAATGGCATTAGCATTGTGCATTGTTTTAAAGTTCTCACACATAACCCTCTCACACAGTGCAAAACTCTGCCGAGCCTCTTCAATGGGGCAGCACAAGTTAAAGTTAAAAGGGAAAATCAACACAGACCCCACAAGAAGAAATACCTAAAATGACCTATTTGGAGGTTTTCGTAACAAGGACTTTAAACTCCTTATCAATGACTCTAGTGTCCATCCCATTGGCAGGTCATGGTAACAGAAGGCCTAGCAGAATGCCCTCTCCCCAGCAACTTTTTACAGTCCATTATGCCAAATCACTACCTTTTGGTCACTTCCAAAAGCTCATGACCATAGGTCAGGGGTCGGCAACCCGCGGCTCTCGAGCCGCATGCGGCTCTTTAAGCCCTCTGCTCTGGCTCCCTTGAGCTTAGACAAAAATAAGAAGGAAATTAAATAAAAGTATTTGTAGGACTATTTAAATGTTGTTGCACGGTTGAAAATGTTTCATATCTTGTATTTTGAGGTGATACTGTGACACATAAATAAAAAACTAAACGGTTTTAATTAGGTCAACTAAAAGATGCGTCACATCCTGCTACGGTCCCGCACCAGCGCCTTTTCTTGCAGGTGAATAACCTGATCCCCGGCTCGATGAGCGAACTATGGATAAATCAAAGAAAAGAAAAGTGTCGGAGGAACACAGGATTTAATTCTGCGTGGACAGAGTTATCTGCTTTCACAGCAAACGATTCGAGTTGTCAAAGGTGCTGCAGCCTTTACGTATCGGAAAAACACGGAAGAGGAAGACAGCTGACGATCTTCAGTCATAATTCAATCAGTTAACTCTTTTTAGGGTGCAGCTATATGTTTTATTTATTTCAAAGTGGGTCCATTTTAATTGTATTTATTTTTCTTCAAATGTGCAGAGGACTCCCCAAGTGCTGTGTTGATTTATTTTGAAGTAGGCCTGTGTATATATTTTTTGATTCTCCTTATAAGAGTTCTTTGTTTATTATTAGAGGTAAACAGTTTTATATAATGTAATAAATAATAAATGCAAAAAAACTGTAGTTTTTGTCTATGATGTAACAATATATACAACTTTATAGGCTATCAAGCTATCAAATATGTTTTGCGGCTCCAGACAAAAAAAGGTGTTGGAAAAGGGGGAAAAATGGCTCTTTTGGTCAAAAAGGTTGCAGACCCCTGCCATAGGTGAAAGTTGGATTTCCTACCGAAACACTAACCCAAAATCGACTGGTAAATTAGGAGTGTGTGAGGCTGGAAGTTGGGTAACGTCATCATAATCACTGTACCTTCTCATATGCGTTACACAAGTAGCAAAAGTTGTCAATTAAATGCAGAAGAACACAAAGGACAATATCTTATTCTGAAATGTAGTGGAGGATAAGACACATGAAATAAACATTCTCAAGGATAATTACCTTAGGATTGTGATAGAAGAAATTGTTATTCAAAAACAATATGTAGTATCTATACTCATATCTCAAAACAAATACGCCAGGGGAGCAGTGTGGGGGTACAGTGCCTTGGTCAAGGGTTAGGGTTAGGGTTAGCACATTGATGTAAACTGGCACCTTTGGATAGCCAAACACAGTTTGTGTTAAAAAGCATTTACCTTCAAATCACTTTCTGAGTTTCTTCCCGTTACATGGATATAAAACATTCATAGTTTATTAAATATTAAGATGCCCTCAGACGCTGTTTCCTGCAGATGACGCGTTTTTCCCCCCGGTACCGGGGGGGCGGTGTAGAACAGATTAATGGAGACAACATGGGTTTAATAAAACACAGAAAAATCCCTCCCTAGAGTTATTTGAAATTTCTTTTAGCAACCAATTAATGTAATTTCCGGGCACTACGCTCTCCTCAATTCCAGTTGAAACAACACTTTTTCAGAGAGCATAGAGAACTATGGGATGTACGGTTATTGAGTGCTGACTGCTTAGAAATCATCCAAAACGGTATGTCTTCTTCTATTAACATCTGAAACTCCCTTGATAACCCAGTGGGACCCCCCCCCCCCCCCTGCTGGAGAACTTTTTACCGAACCTTCTCAATGTTAACGTTTGTTTCTGCATGTGCTTGTCTTTGTCAGACAGAAAGTGTTTGAAGATGTCCAACGTTTCCTGAATCCTGACGACATCATCGACCAGGTAGTGTTTGACCTGGAAGACAGCAGGTAGGCAACAACACAAACAAGATCGGAGAAACAACATTCATCAAGCCTTCGCTTTCATATTTGTCTTTATTCTTTGCTCAAATGGGAGGCGAAATAATCATTTTGGTCCTCTTTGTCTCTTTTTCCTTCAGTCTTCAGTGTCCATCTGATTCCTTGAGGTTTTACTCTAAGTTTGAATGTGGGAACCTAAGGAAGGCTGTTCAGGTCCGAAGGTAAATACATTTCTTCTTCACTTCTACACAGTCCTGGCTCAGTGTTTTCCACTCATTATCGTCGCTTTTCCTCTCTTCTTCAGATATGAATATGACCTCATACTGAACGCGGATGCTAACTGTAACCAGCACATGCAGTGGTTTTACTTTGAAGTCAGTAACATGGTCCCAGGCACATCCTACCGTTTCAATGTCATCAACTGTGAGAAGAGCAACAGCCAGTTCAACTATGGTGAGAGGGGTTGTGTATGTGTGTGTTTGTTTTACACACAATTGAATTGAAAAGTAATAATAAGTGACACTTGTTAATTTGTTAAATAAATGTTAATGCCAAACTTGAGAAGTATGTCATTTGGTATTCCCAAATATTGTGTTTGTGGTGAACACAAGTTTTCTAACTGCCAATAATGCAGTGCCAGAGTTTTATGGAAGGTTTATTGTCATTGGTCCAAAATTACCTCAGACCCTCTTACGCCCCGCTGTGCTCAAATTTCAAACTATATCAAGGTTGGTTGCAAAACTGGACACTCTTTAGTTGTCATCTACTACTAGTTTTCATCAGCTACTAGTTCTGAGCTACTATTAGTTGTCAGCTACTACTAGTACTCTTGGCAAAAACTGCATGCCACTTCTCGATATGTCTTAAAGCGGTTGGTTACAAGTGACTTAAAGAGACAAATAAATGTCATCACGCTGAACATTAGCTGCCTTTAGCTTAGTGGTGATGTGAAGTCAGACAAACACTTACCTACTGATACATCAGAGGCGGGAAAGGCAAGAGTAAATGTAATATTGTTCTATTTGATGTTTGTTTGACAAAGCGGTGTTAAATGTGAATCATTTTTTTCTCCATGTTCAATTTGTCCTGTATTTATTTCATTGGTGATGCGCCTACATATTTGACATGTATAGAGCTGACATGAGGAGACATCATTCACTGGGACACTAAAAACACAAGGCTGTATGAGCATTGTTGCCCTGCTCAACTCTCTATATCTCTCATAGTGTCTTCAACACTAAAACCCTTCATCAAAGTGTATTTTGTGTCGCACGCACGCACGCACGCACGCACGCACGCACGCACGCACGCACGCACGCACGCACGCACGCACGCACGCACGCACGCACGCACGCACGCACGCACGCACGCACACACACACACACACACACACACACACACACACACACACACACACACACCTATACAGGCTAAGCAGTGGCTCCTACCATAATAGACCATCCATTACAACTAAGTACACAAACAGAGAAAGGGATTGAAAAACACACTCTGTATCTCCAGTAGCAATCTCACTTCTTCATACAACACAATGATTCATACAATGCCCTTTGTACCGGAAAATTGCTCTTTTTAACGTCCCTTGGGAAATCGGTTTCTTCTTAGGAAGAGGTGAATGAATAGAAGAAAGGATATCTCTTCCAAAATAGTCTATATGCCATTGAACAAAAAAATTCTCTTTGCCCAGAAAGAGTGTAATGTGCTGACAGGAAAGAACGTAATCTAACTATCAAGTTTTAACCCTCGGGGATTTCATGGTTTTTAAATCACGAACAGTGGATATTTTCTAGCCCAGGGTTAAAAGCCAGCAGAGAAAAACACAGAGGTTACTGAGGGGAGTTTGTCTCGTGGCTACGAGGTCACCATGCTTCATAGTATTTTGAAAAAACATGAAGAGTTCTTTAACCAAGCCCCAAGGAAGACCGCCAGGCGTCGAAGCAAATGTTCATAGTCGCCAAACAGTGGTACTACAACTTCTATATCACGTGACGTCATTGGGCCCCAAAAAAAATGTTTCCTATTGACTCACATTGGGAAAGAGACGTATGTAAACCGGCGGATATGTTTTTATAGGTAATCCAATTACCCAGTACCAACACTTTAATATCCCTTAACTTATCTCGTGCCCTCATTGGTCATGTGCGCGTTCGTGTGTGTTGGAGGAGGGGCTCTATAAGGAAGTGGCAGATTTTCTCCGGAGCCCCTCCTCCAACACACACGAACGCGCACATGACCAATGCGGGCACGAGATAAGTTTGTGCACAGATGGAAGGATGACAGGCAGGTAGGCCATCCAGTTATTGATTGGTCTTACTTTTTACAGTACTACGGCTTCCACAGATGAAATTTTTTTATGGATTTTTTGTCAAAGCACTTAAGATATTCATTGCTATCAGGATGTTAAGAGCATTCCATGGAATATAACAAAAAGTGTATCTCGAGCCGGTTTCTCAAACTTACCTACCCTACCTTTAAGCTTAACATTTGTAAGATGAGTTTAAGAGTTATTTTTGAGTGAAGCTGCCTTTGGTAAGAACTGACTGAAAGATCTGCAGGTTTGCTGAATTTTTTATTTCAAACCCTGTATAAAATTATTCTAATATTGCTCTCAAAATAACAGTGTAGAACAGGGGTCGGCAACCTTTTTGATATGAAGTGCCCAGAGTTCCCGTTAGAATATTTTTTTGCCGGTCAACATGTCCGTTAAAGTTGAAATCTTCCGGACAAAATTAGATAAGTGCCGGTTAAAGGTCTTCTTTGTTATTTATTGAGCTTTAAAACAAATTGATATGATTCGACATTAAACAAACTAATTATAGTAGATTAACTACATTATTCAAAAGTGTACAGTAATTTACAAAAACGCGGGAATAATAAACGGAGCGCTCTCTCCTTCTCCTGACAGCCCGTCAGTATCATGCAGCTCGCGGATCCAGTAATGAGTGACCCGACAGTAAAACTAAACATATCTATAACTAGTTTAGGTAGTTTGAGAGGTAATTAAAATAGCTACGTGTGATTTTCTAACCTGAAGTGTGTTTTGCTCTGCTCGCCGCTGCAGGGGATCATGCAGAGCTGCGTGTCGACTCGTCAGCAGCAGCCGATCTCTCTCTCCTGTCAGATTAGACTTTACTCGCATTTATGTCCATATCGATCAGATCTAGCTAGTTCTAGCTAATGATATGACTACCTGCTTGTTAAAAGACACCTAAACAATAAGCGTCGCTATGCAACCGGATGAGGCCACAAAGTATAGCGCAGCATTATGCATTTGTTTACATGCCCACCGGAACCCCGAGGCATTACCAACAGATCAACGCACAATCAACCCATACAGGACATCTCTTTCTCCACATTAAGTGTTAGACATTAGAATTGACAATTTTTGTCTGTCACATACTCTTTTGTCTGTCACATACTATTCTTGTCTGTCACATAAGTGGCGCAACTGATGCGGTATTGCGCTAAGGGAAAATTATTTTGACCGGACATTTTGACCGGAGAGATTTAGATTTGCCGGACTTCAGCATATTTTACCGGTCATTGTCCGGTAATTACCGGCTAACGGGAACTCTGGAAGTGCCATTAAAAAACAAAATTGTTATCGGCGAGCCAACGATTATCAACAGGGGGGGGGGGGGGGGGTTGAGGAGCTTGACGCTGGTGAACTATCAACAGGAGGGCGGGGGGAGCCTCGCTGCGCGGAAGCAGTGTGTGTACCTGTCAGCACAACTTACATGATGCCAACATGATTGGTTTAAACGGCATAATAATAAGGACGATCGTCCGTTCTGTGATTCTCCAGAACACACATGTTATGATATTAGGGTCATGCAGAGTGAGATGAGATCGCTGTCCCTTTAAGAGAGAGAGAGAGTGAGCGAGCGTGTGTATGTTTCTGGAAGTGAAACGAGGCAGCAGAAAAACAGAGGTCTGTGATGTATTTTGTGAAACAGAAGAACAGCTAAATAAATGCAACGGCCTCCCAAGAAGAGCTCGCCTCTCTCCAGTCATTTAAGATAAAGTGGGTTATTGAACCTGAAGCTTGTTGCTTCTGCCCTCCTCGACTATGGTCTGGGAGCCGACAGGAAAGTTCAACACACAGATGGCCAGTCCGCCCCTTTGTAGCATATTATTTCAATGAGAGATGAGCAGATCGCCACTGGGCTTTCAACTAAAGACACAGCCACGCAAAAACTGCGGCATTTGTACAGCTCCTTATGGGTACTGCAATTTGTGAAGTGCTTTCCTCTGTGGTGAAACGATCAGCACTGCACCACGGAGGAAAGCGGCAGAAAGTCACCTGGAGTTAAACAGAGCGGGGCTGCGTTGCGTGCATGGCTTCCTTCTGCAGGTAACGGGGAGACGCGCTCTGGCAGCGGTCTCGTTCAGGATCCGAAAATACAATTTAAATATTTTGCACACTTATTCCACTTATTCCTAGTGTGCCACTGGTTACGGTGCCGCGTGCCAATGCTGGCACGCGTGCCAGGGGTTGCCGACCCCTGGTGTAGAAGATAGGGAAGGTCGAGAAAATAAAGGTGGTAGTCCATTATTCATAGGGTTAGGACTGTGTTTATATGTCAATTTTGAAGTCTACTGACCACAAAAAATGCCAAGACAATGTTCACAAATTCACACACACATTCATAACCTGTGGCAGGTTGCCAGGCATATAACCCTTAACCTTCTCATTACTATACAGCTTTTCCTCCTGACCCGTGACACCTCAAATGTCTTTCAGCAAGTTCATATACACCTCCATCAATTGTGTGTGTGTTCTGCAGGAATGCAGCCGGTGCTGTACTCTGTAAGGGAAGCTCTGGAAGGAAGACCACACTGGGTCAGGTCTGGGACTGAGATTTGTTACTACAGGTATGAATGAAATGTACACATTTCACGTGTTTCCTCTCTAGCTGCAGTTCAAATGTCATTACTTTTAACAAAATGCTGGTCATCCAATCTTGTGGTGTGACTAAATCAGACTGCCAGGAGTGGGCTCAGTACAGATAAGAGATGCAACTTAATCTCTAATAACTTAATGTGTGGTAAATAGTTTATGTAACAGCCCCCATTTCTGTTTAGTCTCCTGGGAGATAAGCTGCTTGAGCTTGAGCATATGCTGTGAGTTGACTTGTAATGTAATGAATACAGTGTAATAAATATATTAATAAACTCACATATGTCAAGAATGGAACTATTCTTACATCTAATTTATCTTATAAACAGAAAAATACAACCATAAAAAACATATAGAAACTATATAGGACTCATCAACAACATCTTGGTTAGTCATGTCATTTAAATAAATTGCCGCGCACCATTTACTCAGCCCAGTGCTTAAGATAGAGACCTTCATACACTACTAGAGAAGGACCTTTTAGCTACACATATAAGTTACTCTTTGTTATTCTCCTCCAGGAACCACTATTGTCCAGCTCGGGGCAGAAGGAGAACCACCTTTTATACTCTGACCTTTACCATCACCTTCAAACACAGTGAAGACGTCTGCTACCTGGCCTACCATTATCCCTACACGTACTCAGCTCTCAAGGTACTCATCACCATCCTTCAATCCATCCTTCCATCTTTCCACTAATCCATCCATCCATTTGACCATCTTTCATCCATCCACCAACCCATAAATCCGCCCCTCCATCCATAAATTCATCATCTGATGACTTTTAATATTAAAATAAAACCACCACATCAATTTGCCAGTTTAAAGTCCAGCCACGGGACATTTGTCCCCATGTCTCCAATTTATTTTTGTCTCTCCACTGTCTGCCTGAAATGCCCAAAAAAGACTTTTAAAAACAAAAACAAATAGTTTCTGTCTATGAAGAACCATGAAAGTGTTAATCATTTGGTTGTCACAAATATATATATTTTTCAGATATGTACAAATGCTTCCTTATGATGACCATAAACACCATTAAGCTTCCGTCAAAATATGTATGGTAAACCAATTAGTTTTATATATTACATAGATATTAGTGGTCTCATCGAAAATAATGTTATCGCGTTAATCACCAATAAATCTTGTGATTAATAATGATTCATCTCAGTATTATTTATTTGTATTTTGGGGGGCGACTGTGATGTTGTAATACAGAAATGCATGACAAATTGATTAGAGAAATCTACCTCGTGGCAACTTTACTGTTAGCTTTAGGTGTGGTGAAAACTGAGGAAAGGCATTTTGCTGAAGCATGCGCCAGTTTCTTAAAGTTGCACAGGAGTGTGAGATAGTGCAAAGGGTCCCAGATATGCTCAGAGTATGATAGCAGCAGAGATAATACACCCTGTGTAGCACATTATACAGAGGGTGATCACAGCGGCTCTCTGTGACAGCAGCTTTGTCGATGCTTTAGCTTAATGTCGGAAATTGTCGGACTTCATGCCAATAATTCAGTCATCTTCAAAACTAAGCTGAGATGTTAAAACAAAGTAAAAAACCCTGGATCACCCTATTCCAGGAGGGAGTTGTAATCAAACTTGATGATTTGATTAATTTGGTTTGAGGTTTTCAGATTAATTAGGTACGTTAACGGATCAAAGTTGACAGCCCTAATAAATATACATTTGTATAAAAGACAATAAGATACAGAACCATCAGTCAGGGTCTGCTCTGTGTCTCTCAGGCTAACCTGAAGCTGCTGCAGAGGTCAGTGGATCCTACCAAGGTGTATTTCCAGCAGCAGGGTCTTTGCAGCACTCTGGCTGGAAACTCGTGCCCAGTGGTGACCATCACTGCCTGTCCTGCCAGCCGGAGCTGGAGAGACATGCACCAGCTCCGTGAGTACTGTGTGTGTGTGTGTGTGTGTGTGTGTGTGTGTGTGTGTGTGTGTGTGTGTGTGTGTGTGTGTGTGTGTGTGTGTGTGTGTGTGTGTGTGTGTGTGTGTGTGTGTGTGTGTTCAGGTGTGTGTGTGTTCAGGTGTGTGTGTGTTCAGGTGTGTGTGAAGCAGCCATGCATGCTGACAGAGACAGATACCCCATTCTTTGTTTATTTTCACTCCTTAATTGAAAGCCAGTGATCCTTAGCAGTTGGAAATATGAAGAAATCATTTGTTTATGGGAAACCATATGAGATTCATTATAGCATATCTACATAAGCATAATATAATACCCGACTTGCGTAGCTGATATTACACACAGGGTGTTTGTGCATAGCAATTATGCCATTTTATCTTCTCCTTTTCCCCAAAATGCTCCAAAAGCCATCAGCGCTTCAGGCATTGAACATAATTACTTGATTTCACCATTGATGCTCATGCATTTTAATATGAAACAATGTCCTCGGAATGTAAAATGCTTCCTCTGATACGTCCAGTAAACACAGGTTATCAACACAGACAGAAATTCAACTGGCATTAATATTCACTAGGGAAGCGGTTTTCAAAGTGTGAGGGAGGCGCGCCAGAAAGCTTCAGGGGAGGCGCAGCGTCAGAAAAAAATAACGAGAAACAGTGAAATCTAGCTAACTTCAGCTAACTTTATGCGAGCGGCAACATGGATCGATTTTTAGTGAAGTTACCTAAAGTGAGAGAGGAGACAGCGTCTGGCAGAAAACGTGTGTCACTTGGGGCGGACTGGTCCTCTGTAGAATCTGGAGAATCACAGAACGGCCGGTCGTCAAGGGCCGTTGACAGTCCGCCCTGTGGAGACCGAGTTCCCCCACCTTGCCAAAAAGGCTGTAAAAGTGCTCATTCCCTTCACCTCCACCTACCTGTGTGAGTGCGGGTTTTCCGCATTGACTTTGATCAAAAGCAAAGCAAGGCTGCAGCCAGAGGATGATCTGCGTTTATTCCAGTCTACATTGCATCCCCGCATCATCCGCCTGTGCACATCAATGACGCAGACTCAATGTTCCCACTAAAGTAGGGGTGAGTGTAATAAGGAGGCAAAGTTGACATTCAGTGTGTTGCCGGGAGCATATAAGGATTTATCCACCATGTTGAAAATGTTAAAAATGTTAAAAATATATGTTTAAAACATAAAGATAAAAAGGTTTTAAAAAGTTATTCTTTAATGTTTTAAGGAGGTGACGTTACTCAGCCAATCAAATCGGTGCAGTCAGTGAGTCAGCACGATAGATTCAAACACACACGGAGACGAGACAAGAGGAGAGAAACAGTCGGAGTCATTTCAAATGGCGTGCTCAAAAAAGAGAAAGGTAGACATTTTATCTTACTGGACCTCTTTGAAATGCAATTGAATACCCCTGCATTATAGCAACAACAACAATAATAATAATAATAGCAATAATAATTGGGAGGGGGGGCGCGGCTGTTCTTATGTTCTCTGAGGGGAGGCTCACCTTCCCACACTTTGAAAACCCCTGACTAGGGGATGTGTAAGGGCTCATTTCAACTGGTGACCCAGCTGTAGATTTCTCACACGAGCATTTCACCCTCTTCCCCTCGGTGTTTGTCTTTTCTCGTAGCCCAATTTGCACTCCACATCGATTTGATTCAGTTCGCCGAATCCCCATTCTTGCTCAGGGTGTTTTTGTTGATCTCTAGTGTTGGCCTTTAGGTGGAGTGGAGAGGACATTTTCCTCTGTGTGAGGTTCCGTTAAACAAAGCAATTAACCTTCTGATGGAGAACAAAACTCCCTGCTATGCTTATGGAGATCTGACTGTGACTGTGTGGCTTCTTTATACCTGAGGGATAATGTGTGTGTGTGTCCCCTTCCTTGGTATGCCAATGAACATGCTAATACAAGTAGCTAGGTCAGAGTATAGAGCTGTGGGCAACTTATTGAATACAAATGTTTGAATTTGAAGTTTATTTGAGTTTGTAAACTCTTAAAGAGGACATATGATGCTCAGTTTTCGGTTCATATTAGTATTTTGCGCCTCTTCTGTGACATGTACAGTATGCATGCGTTAATGTTCAAAAAGCTCTTTATTTTTCCTTATACTGCCTGTGCTGCAGCACCTCTTTTCACCCTCTGTCTGAAACCAGAGCCCAGTCTGCTCTGATTGGTTAGCTGGCCGGCTCTGTTGTGATTGGTCAACTTAGATGTCTCATTTCTCCTGTGTTAAAAAGCATCATGATGATGGCGAAAACTAAGTTCTGTGCCTTATCGTTGATGTTTTTCTTCAACATACAAGATTTTCTTTCAGAACGGAAGGAGGGAAGCCTACTTCCTGTCTCAAATTGAAAACGTTTTCACTGCAATCACAGCTCATCTCTGAGAGCTGTTCATTATCAGACATAATGTCATTTAGCAAGACAGGCATGACCTGCAGGAAGCTGGAGCTGGGGTACGATGGTTCCTGTGTCACTTTGTGCTTTTTTACATTCTTTTTTTCCGGAACTCTTTGATTTCTCTAGTTCTCAGTCATAAAAGTGACAGAAGCCTCCTGTCACAGGGTATGGATGGAGCAGAATGCTGAAATAAAGCTGATGTAATACACTGCGAAACAAAAATCTAAAAGGAGCAGGCTAAGGTAGCACAAAACAAAAGCACAAACAACAAGAACAAGAAAGAAACTGGGATGGCACGAGAAACACAGGAAGCAAATTCACAGTTAACATATGTGAAAATCACAGGTAACATTGCAAGCAATGGGAAACATTGACGACGGGCTGAAAGAGAACACTGGGAAAGACAGGCATATATAAATACAGACCCAAATCCCATGGACAAGGCACACATGGGGCAGGCAAAAACACAAGGGCGGCTGTCTGGTGACTACACACAGGTGGGAAGAATCAGGGCGGGGCAGATAATCACAAAGGCGGGGAAACACAAAGACAGGAAGTCAAAGCAGGCAAGACACAAGGAGAGAAAACTTCTCAAAATAAAACTGGAAACACAAAAAACAAGTCTGAGTCTGTTTAAGTGGAGCTCCCTGTCTGGGTATCTAATTGTTTTAATACTTTATTTAAAGTAATTCCCTTGAATATAAATGCAAACAATAATATTATTAATTGGAGGGAAAGCATGATAGCCTGCATCTTGTTGTATGTTTTAGAGTGAACATAACAGCAACTGAACTGAATTACTAAAAGACAGAAGGCTTTTGCTTTTTTCTCTATTTCTGTAATCGCAACCTGCTTTACTTGAAGTAGGGGTCTAATAAACATACCTTCCAAAGGTATTTTTGTAGAAACAAACCAATACAAGTGTAAAGAAGGGTGTGCCATTATCTGTGACAGGAAACAATAATTGGATGTTACAGTCTAATAACAATAAGATCTAAAAAAACGTACCTACAGAACTAAAGTTAAGCTGCGTTAAAAACTGTAAAAGTACAGATTAATAATCAGCTTTGGAAAATAGTGACAAGTGTTGTTGAAAACATGTTTTCATTATACATACACAGCCCATCATTTCCCCTCTGAAATTATTTTGTACTTAATGGTGTGTCTCTGTCCCTGTCCAGGTAATCGCCCCTGCATCGTGCTAACATGCCGTGTCCACCCAGGAGAGTCCAATGCCAGCTGGGTGATGAAGGGCACCCTGGAGTTTCTGTGCAGCAGTGACCCGGTGGCCCAGAGTCTGAGGGAGGCCTTCATCTTCAAGATCATCCCCATGCTCAACCCCGACGGAGTCATCAACGGCACGTGAGTGTGGGGAGGCCTGAAGAGGGACCCACTGACAAGCAGTGGATGGAATAGAATAATAATCGAGTACCTCCTTTAATTAAACCTTTAGTATTGTACAGATTAGTCTTCAGCATCCTCTTGGTTCATTCAAAAACCTCATAATACATGCCCTCTCTCTTCTGTGGTGTGTCCCTGCAGGAATCGCTGTGATCTGAACGGTGAGGATCTGAATCGTCAGTGGAGTAAACCAGACCCCGTCCTCAGTCCAACCATCTATCACACCAAGGGCTTCCTCTACTACCTCAACAGTATAGGACGGACTCCACTGGTGAGACATGTGAACCTTTAAACTACATGTCATTTATCCGAAGATATTGTGGTCACATCAGTTCTAAAATCTCTCCAGCTTTCCCCTGAAATCAGATTGAATGGTTATAGTGTTTCAGTTTGTAAATGCATTAAATCTTCAGCACAATAGATGATATTAGTGAGTGGATGAGGGGCTGGCCTATGTATCTCTCAACTTTGGACACAGAAAGGGCAGCTGTTTCTCCCTGTTTCCAGTCTTTAGGCTAAGCACAACACAAAGACTTTATTCAAGAGTGATATCAATCTGAACATCTAACTCTTTCAAATGTCCTTAACCTTCAATCCAATGTTTCCTTACACATCTGAAGCAGTTTAAATTGCTTGTAACGCAAACATACCCCTAACATAAAAAAAGAAAGTAACAAGAAGTTTTTTGGAACAGAATAAGTGAACTAAAACAAGTTAGTCAGTCTCCGCCATTTTCTTAATTTCTATCTAATTGTAAATGGAGTCTATGCCAGTTTCCTTAACTTTTTGATATTTCAGTAAATAAATCAGATTCCACTAACATTGACAGTTTAAAAAAAAAAAGTGTTCAAAACAATGGGAAACTAATGAACAACAAAATGAATTACTGATTGTTATAAGTTTCCCTCACATTACCTGCAGCCAATTATTCAGCCAAACAGAGCTGAAAGATGTAGGTGTTTTTGTATGTCTTCCCAATACTGAAATATAATGGGATGAGGCTTATTCAAGTAATTAACTGCCAACCGTTGCTGTACCCTGACAAACAGTGAAAAGCTTGTGCTCTTTCAATAATATTTAGCAACCTCTTTCCAGCAGGTGATCCACACATGAAAAACATGCTCTTGGAGACTGTTCTAACCAGAAAAACAACTGCAGTGCTGTTCCAACAGTGTCTAGTGAATCATGCATATGAGAGAGGGGGGTTGTTTGCTTTTCTCAGGAACAGTGACAATGAGAATATAATCACATATCTTTTCAGCAGGAGTATATACTTGTTCGACAAACAACCGAAAATAGGTCATTTGTATAATTTGTGTATTTCAGACAATTTTCCCTTTGTTACCTGTCCAATTCTTGGGGGCGAAGGATAATAGCTTACACACTAATTTAAAGCTTTTATATTCCAAATTCAGAGCAGAGGTATTGTCTCCACACGGTGAACATGGCTTAGCCAGGGGCTAGCAGCTAATGGTGCTAACAGCTAACACAGCTAGCAGCAAAACAGTTGAAACCACTCTGCGCACAGTGTTAAACACAAGGAAAGTGTCAAGGACAAGGAGGCAGGATGTCATAGTTCCACCCTAAAGTCATGGGATGGAGTTATCAGCGGTATGAGCATAGTGAAAAGTGGCGGCCACTAGCTAGCCACACACAAGACTGACATGCTCTAGCATTCACACGCAACGGGGAAAATCACAGAGAAACTGGGATAATAGGAACAAAGACTTAATTCCCTGCTCTGGCAGACATTACTACAATATATCTTTACATAGCCAATAGTTTTCTGCTATATTAATGTATAATATATGTACCTAATATATCATATTCGAATAACTTGCATATAGACTCTTATTGCACTATTTCACTTTTTTAAACTATTTTTCTTTCTGTATTTACTATTTACTTGCACTATATTTTTCTGTTTATCTGTTTTATTGTGTTGCACTGTTGGAGGAGCCTGTGACCTAAGATTTTCATCGTCATAACTACACTGTAGCTATGTTCGTATGACAACATAAAGAACCTTGAACCTTGAACTAATGCTCTGAATATTGAATTGAGTAACTCCAACTAAAGTGAACCCAATCATCAATTTAACTTAATTGATAAATACTAGAATTAAGTTAAAATGATAAAAAAATATGTTTTTAAAGGTCCCATCATATGCTTTTCTGGTTATTACCCGTCCTCTTGTGTGTTATGTAGCTTTTTATGCATGTAAACGGTCTGCAAAGTCACAAACCCTCAAAGTACACCCTGTAGGGAGTAAAACTCTAACACAGAAAATACCTGTCTATGCTGCCCCAGAACGCCTCGTTGGAGATTTTTCTTTTTCCATTGTTTACTTCTTGGGTATAGTGACGTATTTGGGTATAGTGCCGTTACGTTACGTCCACGGAGCCGTTACGTTTGGACCAATCCGCGGACTTCCTCACACACACACACTCGGTGGGACGTTGCGAGGCTCGCTGCTGCGAGGAGCGGGACAGTGTGAGCTGGCTCATTGGTGTGGGGTCAGCGAGACACTGCGGAACTCAGCCTGAGCACACACACAAACTCCCAGCCAGGCTGCGGGTGTGTGTGTGTTTCGGGCTGGGTTTCGCTGTGTCTCGCTGTCTCACAGGCGGCCACTGGGCTCACAGGGAGGGGGGGGGCAGGAGCTCCAACAAGCCGTTTAGGACAGAGAGTGAATACAGATACTATACAGAGATGCTGAATGAGAAACCAATGTGAGTTTGGAAAATTGCACAATATAAATCTATTTTAGTATACCTCAACAATGGAATTATGATCAGTAGAAATGGCCATGACATGGGACCTTTAAAGTACATAACCTGGATTATATTAATCTCATATATCAGGTTTGGAGTTACAAATTCAGAGATTTTATTACAGCAGCTATCATTTCATTGAATAATTCCAGATGAAATATCTTCAGAAACCAGGGAACTGTTTGAGATGCTTCTCAAATGCCTTACATTTTATTACCAGGATGTTTAATGAAGCCCTACAAAGCTCTGTCTCACTTCCTGTGTGTCTTCCAGGTTTTCTGTGACTACCACGGCCACTCCAGAAAGAAGAACGTCTTCCTGTACGGCTGCAGTCTGAAGGAGACCCTCTGGCAGTCTGGCTCTTCTGTTAACACTATGGGATTAAAAGAGGACCCTGGATATAGGGTAACACATACACATACACATACACATACACACACACACACACACACACACACACACACACACACACACACACACACACACACACACACACACACACACACACACACACACACACACACACACACACACACACACACACACACACACACACACAACACACACACACACACACACACACACACACACACACACTAGTGGTTGATGTTTCCCTTACTCGATCCATTTATGAGTAACTTTATTGACATGCATTTCAGATAAGCAATATTGACAAAACATCAGGTATAATACAGTTAAAAAATAAGATAAGCAGAAAACAATTAGTTTTTACTTGTGTTTTAGTTGGTTTATTTTTAGCATCTGTGTTTTTAGCACTGTATTATGACTAAAGAAAATCTATTCAGTGTGTGTTAGTGTGCGTGAGCTTCTGTATGCATGCATAAAATAGCTCTACTGGATATATATAATTTATAAAAACTTCTTTGTTCTTTTTTATTTACATTTGTCAAAATTGAAATCACATGCTTAAACTCTTCACAGTCAGTGGAGAAAATGTCTATGGACCACAGTGTGAATCATTATTTGAAAACAACAGAAATGTAGTCAATGACTGATCAGAAATGACACATATGTTCAGTTTTCTTTGTGTAATAATTCAGTTTGATTCGTATGAATTTGTGAAGTTGCCATTTTAAATAACAGCAAACCTAGCGTAAACGAAAATGACAAAGAATGCAGCTCTGTTTACCATTTAACCACCACCTTCTCTCTCTTTCTAGACCATTCCAAAGACCTTGGATAGCCTCGCACCAGCCTTCTCTTTCAACAGCTGCAACTATTTGGTAAGAAAAACCACATCTATATACAGAATGTAAATATATTTAATTCAACCAAATCATATTTGAGCTACATTGTGATTTACACAGGTGGAGAAGTCCCGCTCTTCCACAGCCAGGGTGGTGGTGTGGAGGGAGATGGGCGTGCTGAGAAGTTATACCATGGAGAGCACTCACAATGGCTGCGACCAGGGAATATACAAGGTGTGCCATTACATGTGTCTATACATCATTTCAACATGAATATACAGGAAAGTCTGGAGATAAGCATTTAGAATATAAAGTATGTAACTTATTATATTTTTGGTGGAGGTAAAGAAGAGATGGTGATCAGAGGGCTCTCCTATGTTCACAGGAATCCAAATACAAATGGTGATATTTATATGGTTGAGGCTGATTCTAAATAAGCAGATATTACATTTTTTCTTGGAAATAATCAAATGAGAGGGTGTGCAATATATTTAGTTAAAATCCTCTCTTTTCCTCTTTTCCCACCACAAACTATATTGTTAGCTGGCACAGCGGCCTATTAAATAAAATGTTACAATTTGTTTATGAAGGTCAGTTGAGCTAAATGTGCTGTTGTAAGTAACAAAAAGGTTAAATAGACAGGGGACAAAGACATTAAGATAACTGAATTATAAAACCAATTAATACATTGAAAACAAAAAGGTTTTCCAGCCAATTAAAAGAAGGCAAAGGACAACTTTCTGAAAAAAGAAAGCGGCAATAGTACAACCAGGTATAACAACAAAACACAACAATTCCACAGCTTAATGGGGCACATCCCTTACACTACAAAACTGTTGAAAACAACAGAGCCACTTCAACACACTGCACACACACCAACGTCTAGCAGTCAGAGATGCAGCCTTCCTCAGCCTTTATGCAGTCAGACACAAACAACACAGCACTTAACAGTACATTAACAGATTATATTCATATTTACATACTAACAATGGCAGCCAGAGCCTTTGATGATCGCACTTTAAAACTTGAAAAACGTCCTTAAATAAAGTTTGGAATTGTGAACAATGTATCTTTGAAGTAGGTCCTCCTTTCCCGATGAACAACCCTTAATCAAAAGTAATATTGAAAACACTCACACACACTATTAATATCAGCCTAAGAATTACTTTTCCGTGTGCTGGTCATTGTATTGAGCGACAAAGTATGAAGTTCGGTACTCTTTAACTATTTAGATGAGTACAACCAAAGATCGCTCAAGGCCAATAGTACTTAGAATACAAACGGTAAGTTGGTGAATGCCACAAACTCATCTTAAATCACTTTAAATAAGTTTTCAACCTCCATCAGAACTTAAAAGAAACAAAAACGATAAAAAGTAGTCCGAAAAAACACAGTGTGTGCCAGCTGTGAACATATATGGGTTTTTGTGCAGGGCCTCCAGACAGGAACCAGGGAGCTGCAGGAGATGGGCCTGAAGTTCTGCCACAGTCTGCTGTCCTTAACCAAAGACATGAAGGCTCTTTACAGCCCCAGAACCATCAACCACATTGACCTGGACCACAAGTCTCACAAGTAAGACACATCCTGTTAGAGCCTGTGACTCCTGTGTTTCTTAAAATGGTTTCTCAGGAAATGAACAAGAAGAACAATTCTCCAAAGTGTGGACAATCTCCTGCTAGTTAAACCTTAAGTTGCAGGTTAGGGTTAGATGAGATGAACACGTTGAGTATGGCTCACATGATACTGACAATGCTATCAAAAGTTTAGCCAGTTTGAATTTCAAATGGTATAAAACGTTTATAGATAAAGCTATAGAATGTAACTCCTGGTGAGAGGTCCTTTGTGTTATACCTGTACCTTGTTTTTGTTTAGTCACGGTGCGATTGTTGGAGCAGAGGGAGCTCAACCTTGTTCGTTTCAGTTTTTGGGCGTCATTGTCAGCCTTCTGCCTACCTAAGGGTCACCCTCACTGGCAGCCTTAGGACTGCTCAACACCAGTATAAAACACAAAATAACCCAAGCCCTACTTACAACCTTCTGTGATTATCATTATTTGGACTTCTTTCATTTTTTCTTGACACATACGTGACTCTTAACCCCAACCCTATTTCTAACCCATGTAAATGAAAAATGCTTAGACGCTTAGTGCCATACTCCGGGAGATATAATTAAAAAAAACACCGATTTTGGAGGTCTAGTCTGTTAATTAATAGATTCTTATTACACCTTTATTTTAATTAGTTTGTATTGTCTCATAAAGTGATCACTGAACAAGTGAGACAAGCACAGAGACACAAATGGACGAAACCGAATATGCAAGTAAAACAAATACAAAAATTACAGAGCAGGGGACCAAAGCATCTGATTAATACAACATGTGTACGGACAGGTGGGTGTGCAGTGTCTTTTTTGTGTGTGTATCGTTAGACATGAGCCCGGTTAGCTTTGATAACAGCACTTGTTGGCTCAGGTACTCTTCGCTGCAGTGATTGATGTGTGGATCTAAAGTGGAGCTGAATGGCTTCCATTGATTTTCCGACAGCTGCTCCATCTCCCCAGTGAGCTGTGACAGCAGGAGGTGTGGGCAGGTCTCTCTCCTGAAGGCAAACTATCTCTTCTGTATTTCTCCTTTTATTCTCTGAGTAGTTTTTTTGAGTTTTTTCATTCTATTCTTCCCTTCATGCGCCTGTCTCCCGTCTCTTTCAACACTTTACTTGGTTGAAGTGTGCTGCATGCCTGTCAGAACCGTTAAGCAGTATTATTCATAAAATGTCCTCCACAGTTTAAATGTGAATGAAAGAAGATCCATCACTGATTGCTTGTCATTTACGGATAATTGAATGCTACGCTTGCTGCACTTTTTCATGTGACTGCCTACCTTTCCCTGTAAATATCTGTCTGCCCATCTTTATCCATCACACCCAACCCATAGGAAGAATGGGCTGATACTTTTTAGTTTTGTTTTAAAAAGTATCTGTGGTTACACAGGCTTTGGGACTGGAGCTACCTGACGCTTCCTTCATGATCGACCCAAAACAGAAATACAAACAGCTCAAATTACAAGTTGTTGTTGTCAGTGTTTGGGTAGTTACTCAAAGAAAGTAATGCATTACAGATTACTAGTTACTTTAAAAAAAGTAATGCCTTACTTTACTTACTGTAGTTAGTAATTAGTAACACTATTATAGTTACATTACTTTTGGATTACACTGTAACATCACCTGAGATGCACCATAAATCAAATGACAAATAACAATATATAGTTTAACCTCATGTATGCCAGATCAGCTCAACTCCTTAATCTATTAAGGACAACACTGTACACAGACCTCTGTTTCTGCTCTTTATTTGAACATCAGCCATGTTTTCATTAGCTCAGTCTCCATCATAACACTGGTCCAGAGGCCTGTACGACGAAGCCGGTTCAACATAACCTGGATATGTTTGAGTTAGCCGGTTGGCCTAATCCAAAACATACGCGCTCTCGCAAAGCGGTCCTACGACGCGGGTTATCAAGTGGATCGCTCAAGTCAGCCGTGTCCTATCTAGTTAGGTGCGTGTTCACATGAAAGGGGTGGTATTTGGAGCATTCGACCAATCACAAACATGGACAAGCGTACTGACAGCGCAGCGTCATACTTCCTGAATGAAAAGTGAACTTTAATATTAGACAAATATGAAGAAGTTCAACTTTAAACATCCATGACTTAAACACTTTATCCAGGATAAAAGCCACATAGCTGCACCTGCAAGGTGAATACAGCTGGTAAAAGAATACGTACATTAACTGGTTTATGATATCACTGCCCCGTCTAAGACACGAGTGGATCTGACTTTAATTGCATTTGACTCGAGTGTTTCGTCAACTTAATGTGTTGCTTAAAATAATACTTCTGCATACAGTATGTGACACTGTGAGTGTTGCACGGCCAGATACGGCTCAAGAAGCTGACTCAGACAAGGAAATATATGATACATTATGTTACGGCCGCTGCCTCTCCGGTCATGGTAACTCTGTTTTCAATGTGTGATATGTAAATGAGCTGCGCAGCGGCCCTCACGTCATTGGCTGCCATCTTCTGGTCCGTCCCCGAAGATTGTGATTGGAGCACGCTGGGCCCGACGTACTCCAATCCCTGCGCACATCCAGCGCACACCTTCGACGAGACGACTACAAAGCCGGTCGACTGTGATCATTCGGGAGGCTCTGTTATGGGAACAGACGCCTCATACATTTTGCTCCTGTTAGACAATTCGGTTAACGGTGGTTAACTTGTGTGTTTTGTATTGGCATTGTGTTTAGGTTAACTTAGCATTAGGTTGACTGTGTGTTCCGTAGTATAGCTGTGTTTCTAAACAGCCTCTTTTTGTTATCTTGCACTCTTTTGTTTTGTTGCGAGAGTTGTTTTATTACTTTCTGTTTAGCATATATCTCCTTGTATTTAACAAGGCTCTTTTTGTTGGATCTTCATTTAGCATTGCGCCCTTGTTGGCTTTTCTTTGTGCCAGGCTGCATGCCTTATTATTTTGCTACTGCTATTACATATATAAAATAAATACCTATATTATACCAATTCCATACTGGTGCATGTTATTCTCCTCTATCCTAGAGAGGGACGTAACATACATGGGGGCTCGTCTGGGATATTAACTACTTTCCTGGGGTTATAGGTGTTTTTTATAGCTATAAACAAGTTGGTAGGTCAGTGTGTGCAGTACATCTGAATATGGCACTTTTTGATTTGGAGTCGTTTTTAGTCTGTCCTTCTCATGAGCAGTTAGATCAGTGTCGTAAAGACGACTTACATGAGATAGCGCAACATTTCAGTCTCACAGTGAATAGGCAATCGTTAAAAAAAGAGTTGAAGGCCTTGGTGGTGGATGAGTTGGTAAGAAGGGGGTTACTTGTACTGGCTGTATCGGCGGAGCTCACTGTGTCCAATGCCCTAGCTGGAGATCTGTTGAGTCAGAAGCATGAGGCGGAGCCTTCAATTGCTAAAGGAGAGGGTGGTGACACTGATGGCGGCAGGCAGTTTGAAGCACCGTTCACGTCGCCTCGCTACCACTCACCGTCTCCTGGCAGCTCGGACTCCGAGGAAGGGAGTGAACTAGAGGTCCGTCTCGCACGTCTCCGGTTGGAGGCAGAGGACAAGGAGTGAAACTGGCAGTTCCAGTTGGAAGTAAAGAAGCTTGAAATCGAGGCTGACAAGGAAGTCAGAAAGTCAGTAAGAAAGCCTGAAATCGAGGCCGACAGGGAAGTCAGGATGCGTCAGCTGGAGCTAGACTCCCAACTGCGCGCATCCGGCGCTTTCGGTCATGCCGGGGGAGGCTTGCCAGTCCCTTCTCATCCACATGCTTTCAATGTAGGTACAAATATTTCGTTAGTGCCACTTTTCCGTGAGACTGAAGTGGATGCGTACTTTGGTGCTTTTGAGCGCATTGCAGCGGCACTACGGTGGCCGGCTGAGGCCTGGGCTCTGTTAGTCCAGTGTAAACTTCATGGGAGAGCTCAGGAAGCGGTTGCTGCTCTTACGTTAGAGGACAGTCTAAACTACGATTTGGTGAAAGGTGCCATACTTAGGGTGTACGAGTTAGTCCCTGAAGCTTACAGGCAGATGTTTAGACACCATAGGAAGGGTCCTAACCAAACACACGTAGAGTTCGCTAGGAAAAAGGGAATGTTGTTTACCAAGTGGGTTACGTCATGTAAAGCGGAGGATTATTCTGCTCTAAGGGAATTGATTATGTTGGAGGAGTTCAAGAAATGTTTGCCTGACCGCATTGTTGTGTACTTGAATGAACAAAAGGTCAACTCTCTCTCTGCTGACGCTGTGTTAGCCGATGAGTATGTGCTCACTCATAAATCCGTGTTTTCCTCTGTCTTTACTGAGAGGTCCCGCCGTGTGTCAGCCGCACCATTTACTCAGCCAGCAAATGTGTATAATGTAACAAGAGAGGAGAGAGAGTGCTTTTACTGTCATCAACCTGGACATGTCATCGCCAACTGTGTAGCTCTGAAGCGTAAAGAACAGCGGCAGAACCTGTCCCCGCCAAAAGGCATTGGCCTGATTACACACATCCGCGCACAGGCGAGTAAAAGTGACTCTGATGTTTCCTTGTCTGATCCTGTGTTTGTGCCGATGCTCTCAGATGAAGCTGTGTTCGAGGGAAAGCCAGAAATTGTGGCTTCCCCTCCACATGAGGATGTCGCGAGACCAGCGCAACACGCCGGCTCAGACAAGCCTCTCGACTTTTCGACTCTCACAGTAACCCGAGAGTGTCTGCTAGTTTATCGGATACTCATCCTAGTTTTGGTGTTAGCTCTACAGCAGTTTGAGATCTGTGTTGGACCCAGCCTTTGGCCAATCATTGTGTTTACTTGTTACGATCCCTTCATATTCTGCTCTAGCGTGCACAAGCACAATCAGCGTCTCATGCGATGGGCTCTGATTGTGCGGGACTACAACCTTAGACACCCGTCATAAAAAGGGCTCAGAGAACGCGTTGGCCGATGTTTTGTCCAGGTTGGTTTAGTGATGTTCTTGTGTGTTACTAGGTAGGTTCGTTAGTGTGCTCTGTTTTACAAAACCTGTGTTTTGCTCAGTTCCTTTATTAGTTTGTACCACTGTGATAGTGAGGGTTATTTAGTTTATTATGTATATTTCTTTGTAGTTTGAATAGGCTCATTTTGCTAGAGTCCTCCTTCTGTTTGCTCCTTAGTTTAACCTGCGCCCTCGTGGCCTCTTTTGTTTGTGGCCGGCCGTTTGCCGTTTGCTGATGTGATATGACGTGATATGAATGATAATGGGACACATCGACGTCTGCACTCACAGTGCCGCGGACTGTACGTAATGTTACTTTGATCCGGTAACTTTTGTTGTGGCAGATATTTAAGTAAGCTTTCTTAACGCTAATGTTATAATAGTCAGATTGCTCTGAAGATGGGAGGTGATATTCTATTCATGTTCACGTTCACACAGTCGGTGATTTTTGCCGGCCGTCTTTCCTGCAACGGCAGTTTAAACTGTATTTCCTTTCTCCTGTAATATGACTTGATCGCTTTAAACTCCGCACACTGAGCTCTGATTGGTCAGCAGGCGGTGCTTTCACTGACTTGATCTCTTAGCCTGCAACCTAACCTGCTCCAGCGCAGGTTAGCCGCTCAGCATAAGTTACCATGGAGATCTCGCCCGCTAAAAAGAGAACCAGCATTGTAGGACCGGAAACCCCAAGTTTTCCCTGAAGTTAGCTCGTTAAGCGAAAATCCGGCTTCGTCGTACAGGCCTCAGGTAGCTTGCAAAGGTTTTCCTGTCTGATGGCGTTTGCCAGCCCGTTACCTGTGTCTTGCTCAATATGTTTTAGGAAAGATGGTGATTCCATATTGGAAACGGTCAACATTCCCTCCCTGATGTACATTGCAACAAGCCTGTTTATCTCTGCTATGAGCCTTTGACATTTCTGCTCCGTCTCCTCATCCATGAACTCGCGAGATTAGTTTAGAAGAAAAGGGACGTTTGATTTATTTTTCTGTCCTCCAAAGATAAGAAGACCTAAAGTAACGGGATGATTTTGCGCTTAGTAACTGTAATATTATTACTGCTGATCCTACAGTAACGCGTTACACTACTGCGTTACAGACAAATGTAATCTGAATATTGTAACCCTGTTACTTTGTAGTCTGTTACTTTGTAGTCTGTTACTTTGTAGCCTGTTACTTTGTAGCCTGTTACTTTGTAGCACGTTACCCCCAACACTAGTGGTTGTTTAGGGTATCTTCCACCACTGTAGGAGCAACACAATTTGTTAGCATTGTCATTGAGAGCAGGTTATAAATATATATATATATATATATATATATATACATACATTTGCTAGCATTTTTAGGCTGTTGGCCTAAAAGATATGGGGTTTTGGGGTTGGCCTAAATAATAGGTCATCAGTCTATAGGATCCCCTTATACAGAATTGTGTTTCAACTCTGATCTTCCTACAGTACAGGCCTTATTTTCACTGAGTCATCACTTCATACTCTTAATCCACTATAACATGACACTCAACTGAACACATACTAACTAACAATTTTTTGGCAGCACCCTGTTCTTAAAGTGACTTCATATCCAGCTCAGGCCCAGCGATTACACACTGTTACGACTGAAATCAAAGCTACAAAGATGCATTTCAGAAAAAATAAATATGAATCCAATCCAATAAGTCTGAAGGTCCACCAATACACCTTTGGTGACACTCTGAGGATCAGCATTACACTAAAACTAGCTAAACTGCTCATTTTCATTCCCAGCGCACACATACACACCCACACACACACACACCCAAAATGAGTGGCTGTCATCAGTATGCTAGACATCCACTCTCTTTCCCTTCTGTCTCTTTCACTTGCTCAGTCTGTCTCTCTCCTCCCTTCTTTTTTCTCTCACTCTCTCCATCCCTCGCAATGCCACGGTAAAATGTTGATCAGTGTGCACGTCACATCCTCTCTTTCCCAACAGAGTCCCAGTGAGTCTCTGCATGCTCTCTCACACATATACACACACAAACACACACACAGCCAGCATCTCTCACATTGTGTGTATAATCATATTACTGGTTGCTTTCTTGCAGCTGTCAATCCAAGTGACAGTAGCTCAAGGTCACACAGACATATATTTAAAAAAAATGCTGAGCTGTATGATGCGTTCAGGGGCCTAACATTCTTCTACTTGTTTAGACCCACACAGTTCATTTTAGGATTCTAACAGAGACTCTCTAACAGAGACTCATATGGCTACACAATTAATTGTAGGATTCTAACAGAGACCCCGAAGTAAGAGCTACCAAAGACAAGATAGATATCAAATACATCATGGTGAATAATGGAGAAATGTTTAACAGACATATACTGTATAAAACATTTCAATTTGAAAAAAAGCGAACATACAACTTTGGTTCTAAATAGCTCACTACAGTATATGAAAACCTGATGACATTCATATAAATTGTATGTGATATTCTCACACGGCTGTAATCATCATAGTGTCACTTAAGTTGAAAGACCTCGCCACTACAGTCTCCGGCATTTCTGGCTGCGAATGGCTGTATCAAGATTTTCAAGACTGATACTTGTGTCCCTCACCAGGGGCCTCATTTATAAAGCTTTGCGTAGGATTCACGTGGGAAGGTGGCATACGTAGGACAAAGCAAGTAAATACGCACACAAATATTCCGATTTATAAAACACTGCGCACGCACGTCCTACGCCGGTTTCCCTTTATAAATCACAATCAACTCGAAATGCAGCGCAGCTTTTGCGGGCTTCACGTAACGCCCATATTTGCCTATAAATAGTCAAAGAAACGCCCGTATTAATATTAATTCAGACTGACTGCAGGAAGAAGTTCGCAGGAAATGACGACAGAACGGCTAAAAAAGACATTTCACACCGAGTCAGATTTTGGTTCTTTTGGGGAGGTGGAGACAAATCACATTGTTTGGTGGATGCAGTTTGAACCAGAGTAGCAGCATGAAGGTCGGATCGTCACCAAAATAAATAAAGAAGTGCTCGAAAAAAAATGACCAAATACACTTAACCTTCCTCAGGCAGTGTGTCAGTGTGTTTGTGTTAGAGAAACTGTAAGAAATTATCCGGGGATCCCTCCGGAGTGGAGTCATGGCGACTGGATCTGAATTTTTTTTTTTTATTTGGTGGTTTGTGTTCCAGCTGTCAATCAGCTCTGCGCAGCGTCTCCACTGCAGCCTGTGCATCTCAACCCCCCCGCAGCAACTCTATCCACCAGTTAAATGAAATAAAACTAATGTGTTGTGTTATATTAGCTGAACAATTGACCAAATATATGGTGTTCTTAGTTTCCATACCTCCTGTCTTTTACGAGCGACTTATCAAGTCTTGGCAAACAGCATAAAACATGATTAAACATGATAGTATATAAAAACATGCTCGTATCAATACAACCTATCGAAATTCAAAACGGCCTCAGTTTAGATGTAATTCTGTCCTTCTGCTTACCGCATCATTTATGAGAATACATTTCATAACATTAAGAGAATTCGAGGTGGTTTTCAATAGCATATCCGTATTTATTTATTTCTCTAAGTTATGTTTTTGTGTGCACTGAGGAGTCTCAAAAATCATTTTAAGATTGGCTTTAATCAATTTTTGCAAATGAATTCTTCATATACAGTATGATACATGAGAGGTAACATTATATTTATGGTATTATTTTCACATATTTCTCTCCATTCTTCCTTCTGCCAACGGTGTCGCAGTTTCTCATCTCTCCCGTTTGTGTGCGTATATACGCATGGGTCAAAGTGTCCGTGGAGGACCGCACATTTTCCCGTCAAGTTTGTTTTTTATAAATCATCTTTTGAGCGTACGGCACGTTTATAAATGAGGCCCCAGGTGATCTGTGAAATGTAGCTTTCGACCCCTCAAACTCTTCCGCATGATAAGAGTTCACATTTAATGCGGAAACAGTGGGTCTTAATAAGACATGGGATATTGCCATATATCGGTTCTTCCAGGATAGACTTTGTAACCGGCAAAGAAGATTGGTATATCATCTGTTGAGACGATGATGGACTGGAGCGTTGAGAGTTCCCTTTCATTGAACAGAACTAAAAAAAATGAAATAAAGATTACTAATATGGCTACTTTAAGGGAACGTTTGAAGTCAAACTGCAATTGAGAAGCTAGCATGGCGGTAAACTTGTTGATTAAGTAAGTCAGGACAGTGTTCCAGCAAGAACCCTACCAGGAGCATCTAAATGGAATCAGCCTTGTTTTATTTTGTTACTATTAACGCCATCATACATGTTACACTGTCCATGTTTACAGGTAGAAACACCTGCTCAAATTAAAAGCATGTAAGCGAAACAGTAAAAACTAGTCAAGATTGGTTTCAACTCTTAGGACTCATCTGGTCCAAAGCCTCGATCAGACCCCTAAGCAAGCAAATCCAAGTAGTACAATCATAACATTACATGTTAAATATTTTCTCTCTTCTGGCCTTTCGGTTATATGATTTCAAAGTTAAAGGAGTCATAAAACACAAAGAAGAAAAACGATGAGAAACAGGAAGTAGAGGTGGAGGTGTCTAAACTAAAGACTAGCTGTGATCGTGATTGGAGAAAACAAAAGTACCGTATCCCCTTAACTAATGAAATGGAATAGATCAATTCACAATGTCATGTCTGCAAATGTTTTCTGAGTAATCATTCAGTTTCTTCCATCACACCAATAGACACTTCTGCTAACATAACTCTGCTCTCCTTTCATGTAGCTGCTTCGAAGACGATGAGCCTCCATGTGTCGAGCAGATAGAGTATTCCACAGACTGTCCCTTGCATAATGGCACTGATCTGGACTCAGATGTCAACAGCAACATGGCCCGTGCTGACGAAAAGGAGGAGGACAACGATGAAGGACACAGGGGGGGAACACTCAGCCGAGGCAGCAATGGCCAATCGCAGCAGTCAATGAAGAGCTATCTATTCCCTCAACTGATGAGACAGACCTCCAGCGAGAAGAGAAGCATGTGTAACAGTGTGAGCGCCAATGGACAGATCATGAGTTAAATCATTATTTCTACATGTTTTTTACAACTTTTCTACAAAAGCTCTTCTTAAACCAGCTGGCTAAATGATTCATACAAACTAAAAACAGAAGACTGGGATAATACATCAAATCACTTTCAACCTTAAAATACAGTGAGATTTTATATAGAAACAAAACACTGCACTACACAAACTCCTGGTTCACTCATCTCACAAGAGTTATACGTTCTCATGGAGACGTCGGCATAGCGATACTGGAGCCCGCTCCACCACGTTCTGAAAAGATCAACAAAGAAGCACTGCAAACTCTTTAAATGTGGATTGCTATAGTGTTGTAGCTCCTGCTTGAGCCCTTTGATATCGTTGCTAATTTCGGCAAACACGTAGCATTCTGCGTTATCCGGTAGTTCTGGCTCCCCTGTTAGCTCTTCCTCGTGTTCGCTAGCTGTGTCTGTTCTCCCACTTTGTCTTGCTTTTTGTTGAGTGGTTGAATTCTGTGGGTTTATTTAAACCGACCAGGGGGATTTGGTTAACTTGAACCTGCTCACTCATACGCACAACTGTTCTTACTACTAAGTCATCACGTGTACCTGTTAACCGTTGCTTTGATCTTATTATCAAACATAGGAAAGATCATTAATTAAGTATTGAGCCTATGTTGAAAGGGACAAAGTGCCTCACACTTATCTGGCAAGGCTTTATTTTCTGATCTCTGACAACTCTATCCTTGGCTTACTGTGGCTGATTCTAGCTGGCGCTAGCTAGTCGTGGTGTGTGCCTGCGAGATGTTACTCCCCCTAGATTGGTATCAAGGTCATGAACACTGACATTGGGTAACATACAACGTAGCTGGAGATGCAAGTCAAATGTTGTAGGTAATCAGAATCTAATTAGGGTTTATTGCCAATAGGTTTTGGCTTATAGTACCCCATTACATGTACACATGCCTACGGGAGCTAATTGGGGTTAAAGTATCCTTCCCAAGGACACTTTTAACATTTTGATTGCAGGGGCAGGGATCATCTACTCAATGCTGCTTAACAGTGACCAACTGTACATCACCTGCAGACAAGGCTATGCTAATACTATCGCTAACAGGCCTGCTATCAGGAGACCCTGGGACCTCTTTAATTAAGTCAGCAGAGATGATTTGTGGTTTTAGAAGAGAGAACCTATCTGCGACAGTGGAGCAATTACACAAAACATCAAAGAGCAGTTAGCATGGTTAGGTTAAGCTCATAGGCTAGGCTAGGCGTATGACCACGGAGGAAACTTTAAGAGACATTTAGTGGAGATTATTCATCCCCCACTGAGCGTGATACCTCTGGGTTCTGCTCAGTCCAGATCCGGATGCAGTTTCAAAACGTCCTAGATGGACTTCAGCTTCAAAATGATTCAATAAGAATTGGTTATGAGGGCTCAGGATAGTCTTAATGGTGTGGACTGGTCTCATGCAAGCTAACAATTAACATGAAAGCCATTACTTTAAGGAACATACATACTATCTTTTTTTTCTTAAAATAATATCTCCAGTTTCTAACATTCAACACAGTGGCAGATGTTTCTCATCTTTAAAAAAAGAAATGGCAAATCTTAGAATTGTTGTGTTTTAAATATTGTGTTTTTTAGTCATTGTGTGGGAACCAAATAGATGAAAGTGTGTTCTTAATATTTAGTAGTATTCTATTACCGTAATAAAAAACAAACACCTTGTTAACCACAAACACTTTAGATAATCTCTCGTTTAAAAAAAAAAGGTGGTTTATTTCTGTCTGTATACTATTTTGATTAAAACATTTAAACAGCACTTCAATATCATTTTTCTATATCATAGATGAAATTGTGCATGTAATATGTAAACTACAGTGTGGGGTGTTGCCTTGATTTCTGATCGGTTTGAACAATGTTGTTGTATGGATGTGTTTTTCATCTAGATTTTCTAAGAGATTTCAAAATGTTCAGTGACACATGTAACATTTGAGGCTTGTAGAATAAAAGTGTTTGTTTTCAGAACATTAAATGTTGAACAAAGAAATATATCATGTTTTGTCCATTATTCTTTGTGTTATCCTTGCTCGTTAAGCCTCTTGAGTCACCACAAAGCAATAGAATACAAGTAAGTAAACTTTATTCATTATGGGACTTTTCTTAATCTTGATAATATCCTTTAGTGTGATTCTGATTGTATTTCATCTTCATCCTGGGCTTTTCCATCTTTTTTTTAATGAAGTTATGCAAGGTGTCTGAAGCACATTTACCAAAAGCACACAGGAGAGTTTTTAGTATCGCCATTACTTTCCAGGAAACAATAACAAAAATCTAACTATAACGTCATCTGCTTAGGCCATCTACTTTTGAGATAATGTGTCTTATAATGCGTCAAGTAATGCGACATACTTTGTAAAAAGTATACGGAAAACTGTAGGCTTTCCACTTTTGACCAAAGAGCAAACCTTTATCTTTTCTCAAAATTATACAAAAGTATCTTAACAGTTCTAAATAATATTTTTCATAAATCATACTGTAACACAAACTGTTTCATCCTTATTGAAAATCTATAAATGTCTCCAACAGCTGGTGTGGGTTTTCTTCATATTATAGAGAAGATAAAGTTTGAAGTTGTTCTAAAGTGTGTGATCCAACCCAATGTTTAAAATCGGAGGATGTTGAAACTCCTGTAGCTGAGCCTTCAGTCAGCACGCTGTGATCTACACTCTCAAAGACTGCCAAATATCTAGAAGTAAAGAAATGGAGCATAAACCCACATCAGAACACAGCGTTGATCATAAGTTGTAAATAAAAATTGTGTGCAGGCAAGACAGCAGTTGGCTTCGTCTTAGATGTTCAGATAACGATTACGATAACAATACTTTTACTTTGAGTAACATTTTGAATGCAGGTCTTTTACTAGTAACAGAGTATTCCTACACTCTGGTACTGCTACTTTTACTCAAGTACAATCTGAGTACTTCTCCCACCTCTGTTAGATTAAAGGCACTTTAGATATGGGCCTGTAGTTTTTGGTAAGGGATGGAACATGGTGGGTTCTTTTTAGGAGAGAGCCTGAACAACTAAATGTTTTAATAGAAACCAGGCGTGGACCAAAAGACTGAAGACCCAACAGGGTCTGAGCCAGGCAGATTTGTAGGCACAGAAGTTGTTCAGCGTTGAAGTCCCTAAACGGAAAAAGGTTTATTATTATTAAGATCAAACAAGACTTACTGTAAGAGTGGCATGAGCGGGAGAAAATACGTTTAGTGAGATTTAAAGGTAGGGTAGGTAAGTTTGAGAAACCGGCTCGAGATACACTTTTTGTTATATTCCATGGAATGCTCTTAACATCCCGATAGCAATGAATATCTTAAGTGCTTTGACAAAAGATCCATAAAAAAATATCATCTGTGGAAGCCGTAATACTGTAAAAAGCACGACCAATCATTTTAGCCGGCCCGGCTAAAATAACTGGATGGCCTACCTGCCTGTCAGCCTTCCATCTGTGCACAAACTTATCTCGTGCCCTCATTGGTCATGTGCGCGTTCGTGTGTGTTGGAGGAGGGGCTCTATAAGGAAGTGGCAGATTTTCTCCGGTTGTGTATTTTCAAATTCTAGCGATCTCAAGCTAGGGGAAATTAATTAAACAAGTCTCATTACTTCCATATGACATAGCATGTGTATCTAAGAAGTGGAGCAGAAAACAATATCATCATGAGAAGACCACATTTCACTTGGCTATTTAAAATGATTTAATTTGACTTCTTCGCCCTCTGTTCTGCTGGTTAGCCCTCCTATTGTCCATTCTTCATATTCCTTGATATCAGATCACTCTTTAAAAGGCAGCATTCCTTATCAATAAGCCATATTTATATTCCAAGTTCTTTAGGATTGAAAATCAGTTCAAGATAGATTCTTACCTGAAGGTTATCTTATGGCGCATTTCCACTGCAGCGCGTAGCACGGTTTAAGCGTGCCGTGCCAAACCCGGCCCGTTTTTTTTGCGTTTCCACTAGGGGTAGTTCTAACGGGTTTCACAGTTTTTCTGGCTCTCCAAAATCCAGGTTCTTTCCGGGCCAACAACCGGACTGAGTATGCTAAACTAGTGAGAGAATCGCTGGCAACTACAACAAAATGAACATATTTTACCGTGATTTAATTGTAATACACGTTTCAAAATGATGCCGAAGTGACAACATACTGATACCGGATAGTAAAAACCATGAATTAATGCTTTGACAATCTGCAGACAAGACGGCAGGCGAAAAACCTTTCAAAAATGCGTGTTTTCTGAATGGAGATCGGCTAAGCTAACGCAAGTATATGCTCCGACCGTCCACACTCACAACAACGGCCTATACAGACATAAATAAACCAGGCGACTGTATTCGCCATGACACAGACAGTCTGTGGTTTGTACTTGTTGAACTTTGTCTAGTTTCTGAACAGATATGAGGAGCTGTGAGCTCTGAGTGCTAACAGCTAACGGCTGATGTTGGTTTTGTGTTTCGCATTGAAGATGACGTCACGGGCTCCCCCCTACACTGCGTTTACTATAGTTACTACCCAGTTCCTAAACTGTAATGGAAACGCAGCATAAAGTGAGCCTGGCCTACCAAGGCCTAACTATACCTTACTAAGCCATGCGAGGCCCTGCAGTGGAAATGCGCCATTAGGTCCTAACTTGCATTGACTAAACCAAACCAAAGAGTTTGTGTGATTTTGCTTAACTATTCTGAGGCTACATAGTTCAGGACTGGAATTGCTAAAAAACTGACAAACTTGAAGAAGAATGAATAAGTTGTCTCAAAATGACTGAAACTCTTCTGAAGATGAAGACGAGGGCTGACACTAAAAATTACCAACAGACCATCCAGGACTATTTATGCCCCAGAGGCCCAGAGAACGGAGGCTTGAGTCACACCGCTCAGTCTGCAGTGGGATATTTTTAGCTGTAAAGCACCTACTGAGTTCTTAATCTCAAACCCACTCTGGCTGGGAACATTCCACCAGGGGGGGGCTGTTCAGTCTCAGAGCAGCAGAAGCAGAAACCTGCAGACGCACTAATGTCAGCAATCGTTCTCCACAATCACAGAAAGCATCAGCTGCTGACACTTGAGCCACATCACAGCTAGATTTCTTTATTTGCTGCTCTCTTCTTTGTATGGTACAACTGTATAAACTGATCAGAGCTTTTTTATGAAAAAGCAACATAATTCTCAAAAATGATGGAAAGATAGTGAATACATTAGCTTGAGGCTGTTAATGATCCCTTTTTTGCCTTAAAAATATTGTGTAAATTAATATTTTCTTCCTTTAAAGACATCTTTTGCAACAGAAAAATATTTTACTCACTCACTTCCTTTAATAATATCACTTCGTG